TAAAAGATAGTTAAATATAAAAGATTATAGAATTTGATAATTAACTAATAAGAGAAATAAGAGATCGTAACGGAGAATAGAAACCAAAGGAGCTCACCCGAATGATTGGAACAGACTTCCATACGTAATATGATCTAGTTAATAAGCACTCTGATAATATTATGTATATATACACATATAGTTTTCATAAATTATATATTATGTATTATTTAATTGTATAAATTATAGTGGTGTAAATTTTTAATTTATATCACTGTTGATTTTAAGTGGCACTTTTAGTTAGCCGATTTCAAGGGAAAAGTTGCTGTCATATCTAAGGCATAAATCTATCTTAAATATGTAATATCAGTTACTTACGACATTTCGTTTTTTTAGTTAGTCCATTTTGCGGGAGTTGGTTATTTGGACTCAGGAGACCTCATAACGTTGAAAACTCAGATTTGAAAAATTTTACGATCCAGATACTTACCTATACTATATATTCAATATATAGGTAAGTGTAAGTAAAAAATTTAAGAAAGGCCTCTGGCCACAGATGCAAAGAACGCATACAGCGTGCAGAGCCCTCTTACCTTAAAATGCCCTTGGGCAATAAAAGGAAAGTTGAAAATTTTATGTATATATACATTTATATACATACTGTATTTATTCAAGAAATTCCTGGGAGGTAGGAAAAAAAAAAAAAAAAAAAAAAAAAAAAAATTAAGACTTCTTTCGTTAGCTAATAATTCATATATTATTATCTATTTTTAAATAAGCATTTTTTATTTTTAAAAAGCACTCTTGCTCAATCTACACTGGGTTTAGCCAAAGTGACGCGGTTGAGAAAGGAGTGCAGGGAGTCATACTTTTCCCTCCACAGTTGGAGGGACAAGTCTGGTTTGGAGTTCTCTCGCCAAATTGTACATATTGTATATAGGTGTGTATGTGTTCTTTTTATTTAATTATTTTTAGGTTATTTTATTCTTATTTATTGTATATATATTATTTTTCTGTATAATTTATTTTATTTATTGTACATAGAGTGTGAATGTGATCAGTGAACTCTATTATAAATGTCCTAGAGACAGATTGTAATATTTTTCACAAAAAAGAAGAAAAAAAATTCACCGTTTTCGGCAAAACCTTCGCCATCATTTTTTGCAGTATAGTAAAATAATAGTGAATTGATGAATGATTAGATAAATTGTAAAGAAGTTGGTTGAGGCATTCAGTTAAAGAAAGGAAAAAGTAAAAATAAATAAATATAGTTTAGTTATTTTTACTTTCTTTGATTGAAATCCTCAACCAACATCTCTTCAATATAGTAAAATAAATTATTGCTTAGAACCACGGACGGATCTACGGTGGGGGGGAAGAGCTTTCGGGCTGAAGCCCCCACCCAAAAAAAAATGGTAAAATATAACCATGTTTTATGGAAAAAAATATTAAAAAATTATCTCTTAACGTATTATTGTTCGTGTAATTACATTTAAAAGGACTTTAAGAATCACTTAAACACCATTTCATATAGATAGCTTGTTTCTTTCTTTTTTTCCAAAGTAAATATCGTCATTTTTATAAAAAAAAAAAGTTTTAGGGCTGAAGCCCCCCCAAAATTAAATCCTGGATCCGCTAGTGCTTAGAACAGACATGATATATTTATCTGACTTAACGGGCATGAAAGTGACAGTTGTTTTTAATATAATATCTTAAACAGAGCATTTAGATTTAGAAAATGAGGAACTAAAACTAATTTTCTGGCCGATTTGTTTAAAAAGAAGCAACGCGAGAAATATATATTATTTTCTCCATCCTAAAATACTTTTCAATTAGTTTAAGTATTTCAAGGAGATCGTTGAACCAGGCACGGTATAATTTTCTTAAATAACTTTAAAATGAATTATAATAATTTAGATCTAGACACCAGAGCTTCGGGGGCTAGACGAGATAAAAGCCTCCTCCACGGCCTACTGAATACTAAGAGAAATTCCAACGAGACATAAATGATATTTGATAAGAGTTATGGATAAGACGGGGGCCTATCTAATAGGCAATTTGCCAAAAGTACAGAGAGACAGGGAGATATGAATAGATATACCGTGATGATTTGTAGGAGACGGGAGAAGTGAACGAGCCGCTCGTGATCTAGGTTCACTAACTCAATTAGCTCTTTGGATGAGTGATGGCTGCCAGCTGCCCCGCCTCCCGCGATCACGGCCACTTATATCTACCGGCTTACGTATCTTCTATGCCATGCTTATTTCTCTAATTGGATAAATGTTTCCATCTCAACTTTTTCGGGTTTGTATATTATTTATAATTACAATTAAAGTACGACTGTACAAATGTCACTCTATCTTGCCCAGTGTCCAAGATCTCCTGTTCGCGGTATAAAAAGATTCTCGAGAACAGCCAAAACTTGTTTAGGGTCATTCAATACCAAAAAATAACGATACCAGTAGAATATCGACACTTGTGAGTATTCAAATCGTTTTAGCCATAATTTAACTAAAATAAATCACTAATTATAGAAATAACTATTTGTAAGGTTTTCTGATACCAACGAATATTCTTAAAAGCAAAATATCGATTCGAAACATATGATATTTGTTAGTACTTTCTTATTTTATCATACTCATCATCTAAAAAGATATAAATAAATAATTTAGTTTGTAATACTTGTATCAACCTACTCTTAATTTAAGTATTTCATGTTTTTATAATAATAATGATAATAAAAGGCTTAGCGAACCCGAAGGTTCGATGCCGACACCACCAATCGCTTATTACACACCTCCCTCCACCGTTCGCCGTCCAAACCCAGTCCCTTCAGATCGGCTTTAATGCAATCTTCCAACCTTCGCTTCGGTCTACCCCTAGGACGCTTAACATTCGGCACAGCAAAATTTAACCTTTTAGGAATTCTCTCGTTATTAAGCCCAGCAACTTTACAAGCCCATTTGATTCGCCGCGATGAAATTACCTCAATTATATTACCCGGATACAGTTCACGCAATTCGGCGTTGTGTAACCGTCTGAACTCTCCGGTTAACTCATTCTTCTTCGGTCCGAATATTTACGCAATACTTTATTTTCAAAAACCTTAAGACGCTGCTCATCCCTTAATGTAAGCGGCCAAGTTCCGCACCAATAAACTGTAGGCAAGATAATTGTTTTATAGATTATAAGTTCCGGGACAAGAGGCGCGAACTAAGTATTTTTGTCACAGAAAAATAACAAGCATTTCCCGCCTTCAGTCTAACCTTAATCTCTTCTTCAATTTCGTTTTTTCTAGTTATCGTAGAACCTAGGTACCTAAATTGGCGGTTCGGCGGTTGTAGGTTATGTTATCATATCAGAGCATTGTTTTGATGATAACAGTCACGTAGATACGTTTTATTTCCTATGTTTCTTTCAATTCTGGCAAAATTATAACAAATATTGTTTAAACCTGAAACAATGCAATAGTAAATTATTTTTTTAAGGTTGAAGTAACAAGATTATTTATTTATTTATTCCACCAGCAATATTTTACAGCGAAATACAAATGTAACTAAATCCAAACGATATTAAATAAATTAAAGAATCCAACAAATTTTATCGTCAGGTAAATACTAAAATCCATCCATTGAAAAATCGATTTGTATTTATTAATTAAAGTGATGATTAACTGATTACTATTGATAAAACTATAAAACATCGCCTGCTGGGATTTAATTACAAATATATGATATTTATTACTAATCAATTATGTATTAATTACTATTACTTTTCAAACTAATAATATCTAATATCAGAGGGACTATTGTTGTTAATACGTCGTGTTCCGCCTTTTTGTTCTTTTTTGGTTGTTCATCTAGACAACAGCAAACAATATCCAAGAAGGTATTTGATGATGTTATTCCTTATATTTCTTCTCTTTATGAACAACATTTTCTCTTCTTTTTCCTCCTCAAATAAAAAATCGAGATGCCAGAGATGTTCATTTTTATTATTATAGCATGTCCATCTTTTTATCTTTGAAGATACAGCGAAATGTTCGAAGGTTATAGGCAGATTAAAACAACCCCAGTGAGCAGTTTCAGCGAAATAGCTACGCAACAGCGGTTGGAGGTCGTGGGCAGCGCCAGCGAAATAGTACCTTAAAGGGAACCCTACACGGTCATTCGAAATTGCACTAATGACGTTCCGAAGTGTAAGGTAGTGAATGAAGTACTGATGGTGGTGCGCTGCGGATTTCCGAACATCCGGAAATCAAAGGTTCATTCAGGAGAAGTGGAGGGGGGACTGAGGTAAAAGTAGTGAGGGGGGCTAACCATACTGCTGGATAGGTTAGGTTACCTAGGCCTCACAACCATTATAAATTTCTGATTTTCATTATATGTAAATAGTTAAATAATTTTTATATTCATTGTTTATAATTTTAAACCATCTTCAACTATTTCTTTTAAATAGTCAAGTGGGAAACAAATTAAAAAAAAAAAATGAGGAAACTTCACAATTTCCTTAAAAAAAGAAAAATCTTTAACGTTGTATATATTTATCAGTTCTTTTCCCATTTTCCTTAACAAATTTATTATTTTCGCAATAGTTTTCCTAGATTTTTGTAAGTAGTTGACTTATATTTTTCTAACTTTGGTCTAAACGATTTTCAGGCACTAGGAAGTAATTATTATATCTCCGTTTTTCTCTTGATGCCCAATATTATAAATGACAATGTCCAAATAAGCATATCTATGCTGTTTCTTTGTTTACAACTGATCTAAATTGGTATCAGCAACGATAAGTAATGATCAGTAATGATTGAACGTGTGAGGGTCTTCATGATCAAAGCGATCCCGAGCAATCTTGGCACTTCTTGTGACGTTCATTCATGAATTACCGTCTAGGTTCCGCTCAAGGAAACTTTAAAATGTGTTCAAACTACTAAATGACTGGACTGAGTATAGAAACAATATATCGATATCCATATTGGAGAGAAATGTTGAACCGTCCGCTTCTGCAGGAACCTACTTTTGTTAGGAGAACCCTGGACTGGAAGCTTCAACGGCCATCGATAAGAAGAGCTCCGGAGCAGCTATCTGGGCGACATCGGGAAGACAGTGGCGACCCCTATGAGCGGCTAGATGAAAGGCCCCGATGGCAGCGATGATAATACAACATGATGGCGCCGTACCAAAACCAAGCTCCTTGTTAGCCCTGTCCACAGATCGGGTATCGCGCCACCTAACCAAACAGGTCTGGACAACTGCGGCCTTCCACAGTAGGCATCTCTGTCCGTCCTCTTCGAGGGGGAGGCGTCTTGTGTCCTAGCGGCGGGGATGGTTCACAGTTCGATCCGGGTATCGATCAACAGGATCGATAATACTATAATTATTGAAGTTACGTGTTTTACTCTTTTGTTTGTGGAAAGTGGGTTAGTTAAGCCAACAGACCTCCTTTGAGTAACGCTCGGATAAAGTCGGTTAATTGATATGTATTTTACTTTCACTTACCTATATATAGGAAGTTCCTTCATAAAACTGCAATTGTAAATATATTCTAGATAAATTAAATTAAAAAAAAAAAATTATTACTGTAATTTTAAAAAAATATTTTCGATTTTTAATCGAGTAAAGTAATTAATTGAAAAATGAACTAGTATTCATAATGAACCCATCTTAAATAATGGAGAAAAAAAGTATTTTTCAGTGGTCCACATTTATTTTGTGCGAGACATAATTGTAAGCTAAATACTGAAACAATCACAATCTATTCATTTTTTATATCATAATGGATATCTCTAAAATCATCAATGCCCCAAAATTAATTTTTATTGGCCTGTCAGAATCACTAACGTCGTTTCATAAAAGTAGTTGTTTTGTCTTTACATAAAAAAAAAAATAATTAGTCCACCCCCAAATTAAATCTTGGATCTACTAATGGATATTGATAAAGAGTACTTTAAGAAGTTTATTTCAATTTTTATATAAAGTGACCAGTAGTTTCTAATAAAAATATATAAACTTTTTTATATATTTTATTAAGCGAATTTTACTTCCTGACCATCTAATTCCTATATATAGGAAGAGTAAGTATTGCGATCGTGAAAAAAATCGAGTCTGAGTTTTTAATGGAAATACACGTTTTGAGGTGCCCTGAGTCCAAATAACCAAGTACCGAAAAATGGCCTGTGTGTTTGTATGTTAGCAGCTCAAAAACGAAAAGTCTTACGAAACTGATATTACGTATTTAAGATAGGTATATGCCTTAGATGTGACGGAAACTTTTTCCTTAAAATCGGCTAACCGGAAGTGCCACTTTATATCAACGCTGAAACACATTTTTATAATTTTCTCCAAAACGGCTCTAACGATTTTGATTCGGTGTATCATTGTGTAATTAAGAGATCTTTAATGTCAATTAGGTTTTATTACCATTTATGTAACTTTACAGGGCTTAAATGCCTAATGTTCATATACGTCTTCCTCTAAAGTACCTTTAATATGGTTTATTTTAAAAACTTAATCATTTCACATTATTCAAAGTTACGAAAAAATACTAAATATAACTTTTGAAAGAATTTGATAAGTTAATAAAGGAGAAAAAAAATAAAAATGCAGAAAAACCTGCGTTGTTATAGACTGTAGCGCCTAAACGAATGTACCGATTTCAATAAAACTTCGCTAAAGTAATTTTCTCGACACCCTTTAAATTTATCTATACAACATACTTCAACGAAAAGAAGCTTGAAAAAAGTTACTAGGGATGGTAAAATTAATGGTTTTTAAAATTTTATGGAATTTCCTTTAAAAAGTCGTTAAGATCGGACAATTAGGATGAAAGATATGGTATCTTGTTTTTTCCTGAAGAGGCAAAAATTTGGATAAATTTAAAATATACTTTTTTAACATAAGAAATAAGTACCTAAATTTATACCTTTATTCTCAGTTCTATATTTCAACACTGCAATCACCATCTCCGGAATCAACTTACTCACTGTCTGCATAGATAACTTTTTCAACTAAAAATATCATTAAAATGACATCACTCAAAAATGTTGTAATTGGAGTTAGTCATTCTGTGGTTTATAAAATCAAATATAGTGAATTGATTTTTATTGCCTGTCTTCCATATATTAAATAGACATTTTGTAATTATAATGGTCTTAATGACTTGTTATCTGTAAGCTTTAAGCTTTAGCTCCGTTTAAAATGTACTTCAAAAATTTTATAATAGTCCAGCATTGCCAGAAAATAATTTCTATTCAAAGTAGATCGGTAAGTGTAAGTTGTGTGTTGCGCGCACCAGATTTTTTCCAATATCATTATCGTTATGAAAAAAAAGCTTTCGGGCTGAAGCCCCCCCCAAAAAAAAATTAAATCCTGGATCCGCTAGTGCCCTAAATGGAAAGTGCGCCTATGCCAAGAGGGTTGAGAGAGCGAAACGCGAGGACGTAATTTTGTTTTTTTATGTATAACTCGTTAGTATAATTCGGTAACGTCAAAAGACATGTGCAGTATTTTCCTTTGCGCATGCCCGAACCCTCATCACCGCCAGGACAGCCGCTGCGGTCGAGGTCTCGAGGTCCCTGGATCAAAAATAAACCATATCTTCCCCATTCCCTCGGGCAGTTTGTCTTGTCGGTATATTTAGTGCTCCCTAGGGGGGGGGGGATAGGGGACTTCCCGCTCCCGAAAGATTTCGATATAGATCGATATAAGTCAGGGCACTGCTGAGGTTGTCTCATATCCCTATATACAATATACACATAAGGACAATTTCAAAATTGCCGTCATAATTATGACACTAAGATAGTCAAATCACAAGTGAAAGCAGTTTAATATGTTTTTTTGAAAGCGCGCTGACCATTAATTGTTTCGTAAACCATTTATTTATTTCATATTTTAGGCAATAAAACTTCCAATTTTCTTCATATTTTTTTATTTATGCTTGTAGTCTCTTACGTTTCGGGACAATTTTCCCATCATCAGAGCAATATTTTTATTTTTACTGAAATTATGGACATTTCCTATATTAATTTTAATTTAACCATATCATTCCAATTTATCTATTTTACAATTATTTACCATTCATTTTTTTGGTATGGCACCATTTGTCAAAAATTAATTATTTGTCACATTTTTTAAAAATTATTTGGTATTACACATATTCACTGATACACTAATCAACATCTGGCTATTTTTAGTTTTATTTCTTTACTTTGTACCCATCCTCTTATTTCTTATTATGGTCGTTTGTTGTGTTTTTTTTGGCTATTGTTGTTTTTGTTTTTTTTTAATTTTAATATAGGATATTATGTCCGAATAGTGTGTACCTAAATGTTTTGTATCTGTTTTATAGCAATAGAATCTAAAACAAATAATAGGAAACAGTAAACTATAAAACATAATAAGAGGATGGGTACAAAGTACAGAAATAAAACTAAAAATAGCCAGATGTTGATTAGTGTATCAGTGAATATGTGTAACACCAAACAATTTTTAAAAAATGTGACAAATAATTAATTTTTGACAAATGGTGCCACATCAAAAAAATGAATGGTAAATAATTGTAAAATAGATAAATTGGAATGATATTATTAATAGAAGATATTAAATTAAAATTAATATAGATAATGTGCATAATTTCAGTAAAAATAAAAATAAAAATATTGCTCTGATGATGGGAAAATTGTTCCGAAACGTAAAAGACAACAAGCATAAATAAAAAAATATGAAGGAAATTGGAAGTTTTATTGCCTAAAATATGAAAAAATTATAAACGTAAGCTTCCTAATAAAAAAAGGAAAATAAGAAGATAAGTAAACCATTTAATTATATGACCCAGAAAAAAAATTATAAATCCAAAATCTGTTTTATCAATCTTTGTGAATATCACAACTCAGATGTATTGACACCCTCCGAGGCGTCTGAAAAGAAGATGGACTCGTGATCTCCTTATATAGACATATTATTAGAATGATACTTGAGGGTAGTTTCTCAACATGCGTTTTCAAGTGATTATATTCTTGTGTTTACACATTTACTTGATGTATTTATATTGTAATACAGTTGTAAATATCTTGAATAAATAGCCAGATGTATTGACATAGTAAACTGTACATTGTGAACTATTTAGGTTCTAAACCTAGGACTATTGGGAAAAAAATGTTTACTTCGATATCAAACCTGGGCTATAAGCATTTTAATTATTTTGTCAAAATACCTTATTCTAATACTATTAGATAATTAAAATAAAATTAGGTACCAAAAACTGATGAATACCCATTTACTTTCCACTTGAATAGTAAGAAAATATGATTACAAAATTGAAAAAAAAAGAAAAAAAAGTGACCTATAAACATATTGGTCCATTTGGCTTGATCTTCACCCCCAAAATGCCAAAACAACGAGATTATATGGGCAAACGGCCAATATTTTTGTAGGTCACTTTTTTGTAATTATCTTATTATTCAAGTGGAAAGTAAATAGCTAAACTAAGCTATATTCCGTTTTTATTAAAATCATAAATTATTCGCTATTTTTCAACAAAAAAATCCGTTTAATAAGCTTTAAGTTCATATTAATTAAGTTTAAGTTTGTTACAGAAAAATTTTTATTAAAAAAAAAAATTATTTGGGATTTTTTTGTATCATCATCTAACCGTACTTCAGTTACTCACTTTTTCAAAAACTTCTTCCTTTAATAATCTTTAAATCCTTATTAATTAAGTAGATGTTTATTTGGGAAAAACTTAAAATTAAAATCAAATTGTGTAAAAAAAATTATATGTTCTATCACAGATATTTGGAATTGCTAAAAAGACTCACTTAAACAAACTTCAAATCTTTGAAGCAAAAACATTCAGACCAATTACAAAAGCACCTTGGTACGTTAGCAACATAACCTCATATACTGACCTCCATATGCCGACTGTTAACGAACTCATTACAAACGATTCCATGACAACTTACAAGGACATCCTAATACACTCATCAATGACATGGCCACTACGAATATGCCAGGTAACGTCTGTAGGAGACTGAAGAGGAGCTGGATGAGGGACCTCCTCGCCTAATGTAGATATCACGCAGTGTGAGGTGCCGCTGGGCACTGATCCTCGTAATGAATTTCATGACATTATATTTTGCAATCGATCTTATATTCACTATTTGTCATTACCAGTATGACAGGTGTAAATAAAAAAAAATTAAACCAATAAAAAAAATGCTAATTTTTCAAATATTTTTTTACGATAAATCGGTTATAAACTGTGTTTTTCACCCAGATCTCTTTGTCTCATCTCACCCAGACAGAGAAGGAATTTATTTGTATTTGTGAGCGACAAAATAAATGTTCCTGGCCCTAATATTAAAGTTTTCATTAAAATAATTTAAGCAATCAACAGGTTTTTTATTTAAATATTAAACGTAAATCTTAAGAATCTTTTATTTTGTCACTCATAAATACAGATAAATTCCTATAGTAAAAATCTCGGCGAAAACGCAGTTTATAACCAATTTATCCGAAAAATATGCGAAAAGTCAGTATTTTTCAAATTAATTTTATTTATGAGGAGTTGATCGGGGGGGGCGGTGTCAAATTTATACTAAATTAAACAAATAGTATTATTTAATTTTTTGCCGACGTTTCGACCCACTTTGCAGGTCTTAATTTCGCAAATAATCCATTGTAAATAATAGACCATTTTCCTCATAAAAAATTTCCTTAAATTAATCTTTACATTGAGGAAATAAAAAGAAATACTGTCATATTGTAATCTTTACAAGTATAAATGTGTTTTTAAACGGGGCTACAAAAGATACAATACATGGTGAAAATAAAATAAATGAATATAAGTAGATATAAAATAAGAAGATAATACTATTTGTACGTAAATAATACTATTTGTTTAATTTAGTACTAGTAGGCCCGTGAGAAAAATTCGCACAGCATATAGTTATCAAATGCCAAATTAATAAAAAAATAAAATAATGCAACCTATCAAAAGATAAAGAAATCAATCGTTACTTTATCCATAAATATAATCGACAAAGGAAACAAAAATTAATTTAAATCTACACTTTTGTTTGGAACCAACATATTTACAAATTTCAATAAGCTGTATCTTTGCGAAAAGTTGACCGATTTCAATGATTTTTTTTCCTTTTATAGAAAATTTAGTAATGTTTTATACAATCGTAGGAATAACCAAAGGAAAAGTGTGTAATTTTTTAGTTATTTGTAAATAAAATTTCTTTTCTTTCATAACTTGCTTGCCTGAATTTTCTGGGTGATTGGACTATTTTGCCAGCCTGAAGGAGAAGGAAGCCGAAATTGGTGGCTCAATCTTGAAATTTGGTGAAAAATTAACGAAGATATTGCTTGCCAATCAAAAACACCATCGATAAATAATATAAACTCCTCTCTTGATCATAGAGGCCTCAAGTCGACGAAATGAGATATGTATTCAATGACAGTACTACAATTAATGTAAGGTTGTGTGGATGCGAACCCTATGCCTTGCATTATCTCGAAAATAGTAAGTTTTTGGGCTTAAAAACTGTACGCATCAAAATCTTCAAGATCCAATTTGTATCGATCTACAGACCTACCACCGTTCCAGTATTGAAGCCAAGCAAAATGTTTGTATCGACTTTATTTATTTTAGAAAGAAAAACAAAAGTGGAGAATACGATTCGCTAACCCCCCGTGAAATTCTGAATCCAACGGTACCCCATTCATGGTATTTGAGCATGACAGGAGCTTATATTTGGTACAAAACCGATTTCGAGCCTTACTGTAATAATATATGTGGGGAATTATTTGAGCGCACCTTCCGATCAACTCATTCTCATATCATCAACGGTCAACCATCTCCACATTATTATAATTTTATTTATATATGAATTGTGTGTTTCGGTAATTGGGTTGATTATAATACATTATGGAAAAACAGGAAATAAAAGCTTTGTAACAATTAATTTAAGTTAATTGGTTCGTGCTAAACAGACCTTAGGCTAGAAGCTCGAGAGAGTAGAAGCTAGAACGAAGACCATGAGCGGAAGTCAATTACTGTGGCTGTATCCTTCCAGCAGGAAACCAATTAGTGAAATTAGCTGTCTATTTGAACTGCCGTTTCAGCAGCTAGTTTATATATGTGTGGGTTTGTAAGTTTTTACATGTATGTTTATCTCTACATATGTTTATATCTATATTTGTGGGTAAATGGTTGACTGTCGTGAATAATGAAGAGAAGAATAGTTGGGGTGATCAGTCAAATAAGAAGGCAAAAATAAATGATAATATTTATTTTGACATTTGCCGACGTTTCGACCATCATCAGTGCTAAGAAAAGAACCAGATAACAAGGTATGAGAAACATAAAAATTAAAGTAAAATGCAGTTGTTAGAATAATGACAATAGTAAGAACTAAGAGATAAATAATAATGACCTGTAAAAAGTGTGGAATGATGAAGTAAACATAATCAAAAAAGGTGACATAAGTATTGAAATGGGAATCTTAGAATAAAATGTAAAACAGAAAA